CAATCCATATTGTAGGCTGCAGTCCTTGACACTCTGCAGCAGGCGCTTCAGGTCCTCTTCAGTTTCAGCAAGCAGGGTTGTGTCATCCTCATAACGCAGGTTGTTGATAAATCGTCCACCAATCTTGACCCCAAGTAGAACACAATATTACATATGGTAAACAGGCAAACCTGCATCCAGCAGAAAGACTCACTTATTTACCTTCTTATTGTCCCATAGTTGTTGGTTCATTTCTAAATTGATACACCTCCTTTCCAAATGGGGTTTACAATGTACTTCACAGTAATATTTTTAAAAGAAAGTTAATCAGAAAAGAAACAATACAAGAGGTAAGTGATACAAAAGATAGGATGTTGCTATCTACAAGCACGGAAATTTTCTAAGTAGTAGAAGGTTACACATATCAGTAGTGATAGAAAGTACAGTGCATACATAAGCCACCAACACAGGAGTTTATTATGATTATCAAGACATAAATCCTATAGGTTACCTATGTACTGTATACATGGTAGTGCAATTTCTTTGTGTGCAAAGGACTCTCATGTGCTGTGTAGTATGCTGTTGTATTGAATGCTACTACATTCAAGCCTCTCATCAGGATTTTTTAACTCTATCATAACCTGGGACCAGAGATGTCAACGTTGGATATGATCCAAATTGGAATTATGTGGCATGTGGCTGCACTTGGTCTCAAGTTATAAAATCAATCAACCAGCATAGTTAAACTGCTACAGAACTCAATTCTATTATAGTGATTTTTTCAAAATATCCCAAGCAGAGCCCATTAGTTTTCTGAACTACAATTTGGCTGGGAGACTATTTTTAACATCCCTATAAAACCTAGATCTGAAAGAACTGTGACTAACACGAACAATAATTACATACCACAATGCAAAAAAGCAAGAAGGAGCAGTGACATTCGCTACGTGCCAGGCCTTTGCCTTAGCACTTTCCTACAAACCTCACTTAATCCTCACCATTCACTTCACACATGAAACAATGGGGGCCCAGGGAGACTAGTAACTTCCCAAGGAGTCAGTCAGGCTCAAGCCTGTTTCCAAACACTATGTTATAATACTTTTTAAATGGAAAGCTTCTCTACTGGGAATGTAATTGAAATTCCATTCATTATAGATCTATTCCTACAGAAGAGGGGAGTTCATAAATGAAATGTGAATAATACTAGAGATACTACATTTTAGTAGAAACAAGATTTTATTTTTAAAAACAACATAAAAGGAGATTATTTAAAAATACAATGTAGCAATACTTTTCAGTATTTCTTAGATCTAAAAGGCAATGACTGAACTGTCTGTACTCATGTCCTCAAAAAGGCAAATAGTTACCATTCGAGCACGAACTCAACTCCTATAGTAAGATTATGCACAGGCTGAAAACTCTAGTTTGTGAACTGTAGTAACAGGCATGATTTAGCAACACTGTCACCAACGATTCTGTATTTGAAAAGACAGGCATAGGCCATGGCTGTGGCCGCTCAGCGCCAGGGCACACGGCTCCCCCTCCTGCCACTGCTCCTCCTCCCTGTGCTGCTCACCCTTTTCAAAGGTCAGGCTCTGCCAGCAGTTATGATTAACTGAAGAATACATAGAGTACATAAAGTACAGCTCACATACTTGCAATTCCTTTCTGGGAAGTAGTTCAAGGCACAACTCTTGAGACTTGGAGCACAAGATTTTTGACACAGTGGTGGATAGCCTTTACTTAGCTTCCCTCTATGATAATATCTTAAATAACTAGAATGTATGGTGCTTGAATGATAATTACTGATGTAAAACTGCAGATAGGGGATACAGCCTGCTTTCGACTCCTTTCGCTCCATCACAAGGTCATATCACAGAGGCACAGCAGGCACTTTACTTGTATATGATTTTATCAGGAAAGATACATTCAACCACTTGACAATCTGGTTGGAAGATGACTGCCAACATTCCAATTCCAACATGGTCATTATGCTAATAGGAAATAAAAGTGATTTGGAATCAAGAAGCAAGGTAAAAAAAGTTTTTGCATGAGCATGGACTTCTCTTCATAGAAACTTCAGCCAAGACTGCTTCCAACATAGAAGCAGCATTTATGAATTTGGCAAAGAAATATATGAAAAAATCCAAGAAGGTGATTTTTGCATCAATAATGAGGCAAATGGCATTAAAACTGGCCTTCAGCATGCTGCTACAAATGCAACCCACGAAGGCAGTCACAGAGGCCAGCAGGCTGGGGTGGCTCTGCTGAGTGCTTCTACTGTCTCGCTGCCCACATGATACCTCCTCACTGTTCTTTCACCCTCTCCTCCTGCTCAGCTGCAACATGAAACTATCTGAAACAGCGTTGTGTCACAGAAGACTTTGCTCCTTCATATTCTTAAATAACTTTGAATAAATGGTTAATGTTCACTTTAAAAAAGGAGGGGGGGCAAATATTTATGGAAACCCATACCAACCCATTCAAATTTATAAGTAAATAGTACCTTGTTTTAAGAGTAATTAAAATACATATGTATAAATCTTTGTAATTTTATTTCATTGCTTACTTATGCACAAATTATTCATTTTTTCCTTTTAAATTATGACTGTATATTTAACTGTTTATTGGAAGTCCATTCCAATCTTGTCTCCCACCTTTCTTGCGGTTGAAATTCTCATAAAGTTCCTGACTTGGGCATCGAACTGATTACCAATACAAAAAGGGCAACATTTCTCAGTAGTTCAGGGCAGTGAGACTGTCATGGAAAGTGGTATCAGATGAAAGTGGAGCTACATCAAAATGTCACACTAGTTCATCCAGGTAGTCCAGAGATCATTCCACATGATTAAAAACTGGTCCTTACTGCAAAGTGGCAGACATCCTGCCTGCGTGTCCACTCTTTTTTTCTCATTGGTGTTTATAGCATTTTCGGATTGTTCTCTTTTATAGATTCTAACAATTTTTTAATTCTTTCACTTGCAGGCCTCTGCCTTTTCTTCTGGGTAAGAGAATTCCTGTTTGGTAGAGAAGGCAGCAACAAGGTTGCCAACCCCCAAGGCTGACTGCTTGATGGTGAAGGACGATCTTTATCCTCCTGCTGTAAAATCCAGGCACTTTCTCTGGCCAGATCTATAAACTTTTGCAGCTGGCTTTGATTTACATTTCTGCTGATGTTGAGAGAAGTTTCAAAAGGATTCTGAATGTGTAGAGGAGAAGAATCAGGTTTGTTTTGTTCCTTTCCCTACAGATTACAAAGGAAAAAAATGTATTAAATATATAAAGGACTTAAATATAAAAACAGACAAGTTAATTTACTGACTTGTCAAGGAAATATAAGATACCACCACTAACTTTACATAGTAATGAATGTCCTTTCTAAGGAGATTGTGTGTGGGTATGTGCATATATTTCTGACTCTCCCCACCCTATGCCCCAGGAGAGAAATAAAATTAGGTTTAACAACTAAGCATAGTGATGTCAATGCTCAGATGAGCACCGTCTGTGCTAAATCAACCAATGAAAGTATTTTTAAATAAAGTAATACATTTTTACCTACCAAGACAGAGCTAGGAAAAGGGGTAGAGAGTGTGTGTGAGTAAAGAAAGGGTTGAGGGTGTGATTAGGATGGCATGAAATAATATACAAATATATTTACTTTTGAGCCTCGCTAAAAATAACATTATCTGAAAGCCAGGGGAAAAGGCACATAAAATTCTTAATTTATCCTTCCTAAGTAAGAAATGAGAATGGAAGAACAAAAGATCATTCTTTATTTTTAAAACACTAACATGTTCCTTTAAAGTCAGTAAGATTCTGCCAATAATACCTCACAGAAATAAAACAAAAAGCTAAAACTATAAATTACAAACTCCAGTGATACACCAACCTATACAGTCTTCTCTCTCAAACAGTATCACATGTATTATTTATTACAAAACAATGGTCATGATACTCCAGTGTAAGCTTATTTCCTAACTTCTTTCCTTCTGTAAGCTCCAGGTGAAGGTGTAAAATGATAAAGGACTTCATTTGCAAAATGACTTCTTCTCTGGATTGCATTCTAGAGCTTTCTGTGACCAGACGCCATTACTTACCACTTATTTTTAAACAAAGTTTCCATAAGCAGGATGAGGGTTAGAGAAAAACATAAAACTTGAATAAAACAGTATTTGTGTATAGGCTTTATGAAATCAATTTTATAAAGTTTATAACCAAGTGGCCAAATGATGAACAGAATAAATGAGAACACAGGGCTATCACACATATCCTCATTTGTAAATAATTTATGTTGTGGGCTCTGCTCTGATTATCTTTTTTGAAAAATGTTTACCATATCAGCTATTGAAATGAACCCAAATTACAAATTCACTTCCTCTAAATAAAACTCAGGGCTCAAAATAACGGAATCACTAAAAATTTATCTTTGAAATGATATATCCAATTTCTTCCATAGGAACACAAACCCAGTTTAAAAGCAACTGTACATAAAATTATGTTCCCCAGAAGTTTCAAAATACCGCCCACATTTACAAGGAGAGGATATTAGCACTAAGTGACAACAGATGTATCATGCCATAGTGGAAAAGGCACAGAACGTCACACTGAAAGACTTGGTTCAGTTCTTCAAAAAAACTAGACTTAAAGTAAAGACAGTGTAAGCATTCATTTCTTTATTAATATGTATTATGAGAGTTTAAGTGAAATAGTACTTGTTAGTACGGTTTGAAATTAAACTAAGTATTAGTACAGAAGATAATCAGAAATCTAGTATTAAATCTTAAAAGATACTTACCTGTCTAATGTTTATGGAATTTTTATTGAAGGGAAAATTTCCATAATATTCAAAAAATTCCCTCAGCAACACTTCTGCAAAGGAATAAAACAAGAAAAATAAGAGGAAATCCCATTTTGAGCCAAAAAAGATAACAAAAAAAATATCACTTACCTAGTGTTTCTGTGTTTCTTGAAGGCTGAATTAGATTCCAGTTGCTAGTAAACGTACAGTTGTGGCCCTCTATTACGCATTTATCTTCTGCACCTTAAAGAAAGAGAAACAAAGCATATGTCACTGGGTATTTTAAAGATATTCCCTTCTTCAGAAAATAAATCTAGAATTTAAAGAAATCAGTGTTACAGATGAATCTCTGCTATCAGATGGTATTGCAAGTATTTCTAATTGGTTGGCTGTGGTTGTTGTGTGCTGTCGAGCTGGAACTGACACATGGCTGACCCTCCAAGCAGGTTCTCAGAGGCAGATTAATTTCACAGGAAAAGCAGCTGGTGGATTCGACCTACAATACCTTCAGGATTGCAGTGCAGCTTCTTTAGCACTAGAGCCACCAGAGCTAGTGTTTGGTTAGGCGCCATCAAATCAGCTCTCACAGATGGCACCCTGCCCAATCCTCACAACTGTTGCTGCACTTTAACCTATTGCTGCAGTCACTGTGTCACTCCAATCCATCTTGTTAAGGGTCTTCCTCTTGTTTTACTGATCCTCTATCTTCCCAGACATACATGAGGTCTTTCTCCAAGGAGGCCCAAAAAATGTGAGATGAAGTCTCTCCCTGCTTCGAAGGAGTATTCTGCCTGCACTTCTTCCACGACAGATCAGTTTGTCCTTTTGACAGTCTTGAGCATATTGAGTATCTTTCACCAACAATTCAAAGCCACCAATTCTTGGTTTTCCTAGTCACTGTTCAATTTAAACAAGCATGAGACAAATGAAAATACATGGCCTACATCAGCTGCACTTAGTTGTTTATGCATTGCTCTTTAGCACTTTACAGAGGTCCTTTGCAGCAGATTAATTCAACATCAATTACTTTGCTTGATTTATTGACTGTTACTTCCATAGGCATTAACTATAGAGCCAAGAAAAAGGAAACCTTTTGACAGTTTCAGTCTTTTCTGCTCATCATCAAGTTGTTTACTGATGGTAAAGCCAAAAGCCAAACCCACTGCCATCAATTCTACGCAGACATACAGAGTGACCCTTCAGCAGTTTTCTGAGGTTGGAAATCTTTATAGGACACTGCTCATCTTTCTCTGATGGAATGGCTGGTAGATTTGAACTGCCAACCTTTTGGTTAGCAGCCCAACGCATGCCATCAGAGCTCCTTTACTTATGGTTAACAGATTTAAAAAGACAAAAGGCCTGAAGACCTACTTCTAAAAGTCTGCCAGTAAAAATTCTGATCATAATGGTTGAATCCAGATGTGCATGGGCTTGCCAAATTTTGGTACTATTTTTACAGTAACACTAAATTTAGACGCCCCTTTTCATTCCAAAGGGGTTTTGGTGGCATAATCCATAGCTAATTGTGTTGCTAACCTAAAGGCTAGGCATCGCCTGAGGTTCAAAGGCACTGGGTGCTCAGCAGAAGAAAAGGCAGGTGGTCTACTCCCACTGCCCAACCCTCTACTGACGAAGCTACCAGAACTCCCTACTGCAAGTGTGCAGTCCTCTAAAGAATTCAGTGCACAAACAGATGGGCAATGCCCTCCTGTAAGACTTCCAACTTCTGAAAATGGACTGGAGGGTCAGCAATGGGTTAATTCTGAGTCAGTGGCAACTCATCATTATCAACAAACTTACATATGTTCCACTTAAATCTATTTTTATGAGGCTCAGACGTATTTTTACCACTTCAAATGATTAGTGGCAGACTTTTTTTGGTGTAGGGCTCATTACATATATCATCTCCTTTCAGCTGCTGTCTTTTTTCAAGAATGTATCTGCAATCAAATCATTAGTATCACAGAAAAGCTGGACAATTCTAAATAACAGAAGACTTGATGAATGTGAACTGCAGCACTGGAGAAGAGTATCAGATATACCATGGACTGTTTGAAGAGAACTAATCTGTTTTAGAGGAAATACAGTTAGAATGCTACTGCGCATTCTAATGATGGTGAGATTTCTGCTGCCTTACAGGTCAACAGGAAAAACCAAATGCAAGAACAGGGCATCATAGTTGGCGGAGTAGAGGGTGCGGAAAGTAAGGAACCTTCAATGAGACAGACTGACATTATAGCTAAAGCAATGGGCTCAAACAGTAGTAATCATGAAGATGGAACAGACTCAAAAACCCCAAATCCATCTGAAAGTTCAGCCACAAATAATAGCAAGAGTTGAAAACCACCCAAGTACCTATCAATGAACAAATGGCTAAAGAAACTGAGGTACATTCACACAAGTGAGTATTACATATCACTAAAACACAATCAAGAATATGTGAAATATTGCCCAACAGGGAGGAACAGAAAACAAATTATGCTGAGTGACATAATTCAGGGACAAAAGGATAATTATAGTGTAAGCTTGTTATTGTTGTGTGCTACTGAGTCAAAACTGACTCACAGTTGACCCTCCTGCGGGTTTTCAGAGACATGGGAGGTGACTGCCCATTTTTCTCTTGTGGAGCAGCTGGTGGGTTCAAATTGCCGTGACTTTGGGACTGTAGCACAGGTTCTTAATACTAGGCCATTAGAGCTCCCTAAAATAATTAAGATCACATAGGAAATGGTTTACACACAGAATCAACAAAGAGGAAGCGAGGAAGAGGGGAAGGAAAAAAGAAAATGAAAATTTTCGCCAAGTACATAAAAAATAAGAACAATATTTTATATATACGTGTGTGTGTGTGTGTGTGTGTGTGTGTGTGTGTGTATTAAAAAAGAGAAAGTATACCTCCATAATATTTTCATTTCTATTATTTAGCTAAAAATTGAGAAAGTTGAGGAAAAAGTTACTTTAAATCTAGCCTGACATACGACACCCTGTTACTGACATTCTTCTTTAAAATAGTGTATTAAACACTGGCAGAAATCTAAGTAAATATAAACTCTCCCAACTCTGAGATATTAAGTCCTAACAGAAACCTAATGACTGAAACCTTCAGCAAGGAAATACGAACTTGAAAACAGCATAAACAAAGTTATGTAGTTACTAATTTTTAGTTCCATGCCTACCTTGGTATAGCAATGACTCTTTTTCTTTATGATGCACATGACAAACGAGATTCATTGAGCAATCAAACATTCCCAAAGGCACATGCAGAGATTGATAAAAGTTTCCATATTTTTCAGGAAATTAAAGTAACATAAACAATTTATAATTTTGCCAAAATCTAATGGTAATACTTGTTATCAATAGATATGGGATTTGGAAAACCTGAAACTGGCTTTGTTGGCCACCAACACTTTTAATAAAAAAATATCTAAAGTTGGCAGATACATAAATAAATGACAAGATAATAAAACGAGTGAGGTCCATAGAAAGGGTTAATATAGCTTCTTTTATAAAAAACACATAGGTGTTACAAACAGAAAACCATCCAACTACTAGCCAAAGTCTGATGGTTCAAACCCACCACAAGGGCCCTCAGTAGACCTGGAGCTTTTTTCGGAAAGATCAGTCTTGGAAACTCTGTGAAAACAGTTCTACTCTGCACACACAGGGTCACCATGAGCAACTAATAATGTGATAAGAGTTTATAGAAATTAAACATAAATAATTTAAAATTGCATAATTATATTCAGCTTGTATTAGAAATATTACCAAGTCCAAACCTTCCAAAACACCAATGGTGAGCAGTAATTAAATGAGAAACATCAACAGATGTTTTGCCTTACTAATTCACGGAGGCAAGGACTCCGGGGCTTCGTCTGACCTACTTTGGACATGTTGTAAGGAGAGACCAGTCCTTGGAGAGGGATATCATGTTTGGGAGGGTGGAGGGACAGCGCAGGAGGGGAAGGCCCTCTATGAGGTGGATTGATTCAGTGACTGGGGTAATTGGGATGGGAGTGTCAGAGATAGTGCGATTGGCACAGGACAGAGCAGAGTTTAGGGCTGGTGTACATAGGGTCGCTATGAGTCGCAAGAGATTCGACGGCACATAACAACAACAGTTATTGATTGGTGCTACCATATTGGTTTTGACTCACAGCAGCCCAGAATAAAACATAACAAAACCCTGCCCAATTCTGTGCGGTTAAATAAAAAAAAGGAAGAAAAATTGCATGCTTGGAAGTTACTGAAAGACTTTAATAATGTGAAATTGTTGTTGTTGTTATGTGCTGTTCAGTCGCTTGCAACTCACAGCAACCATATGTACAACAGCTCTGAACCCTGCTCTTGCCTGAGCCAACCTTACTGTCCCTCACACAGATACCCACCTTAACCCAGTGACTGAGTCAATCTATCTCATCAAGAGTCTTCCCCTCCTGCGCTGTCCCTCTACAAAGACTGGTCACTCCCTGCAACATGCCTGAAGTATGTCAGATGGAGCTCCAGAATCCTTAACTCCAAGGAGCAGCCTAGTTTCACCCTCTCTGACCAATCTGTTTGGTCTCCTAGCAATCCAATTCAATACTCTTCTCCAGCACCACAGCTCAAAGGGATTAACTCTCTTTCTGTCATCCTAGTCATCCCTAGTCATTGTCCAGCTTTCTGATGAATAGCAAGTAAGTGCGATGACTATAGCCTGGGTAAATGCACCTTCATCTCCAGACTGACTTCACTGATCTTCAGTACTCTGGAGAGGTCCCTGACAGCAGACTTTCCCAATGCAATTCATCTTTTGATTTCCTGGCTGCTGGCACCAAGAGTACTGATTCTGGAGCCAAGTAAACTGAAGCTATTAATCATCTCAGTATCTTTATCATCTATCGTGATGCTACCAATCGGCCCAGTGGTGAGACCCTTTCTTTTCTTGATGTTGAACACTTCATATTTGACGCTGCAGTCCTTGACCTTCTGCAGCAAGCGTTTCAGGTCCTTGTCAGTTTCAGGAAGCAGGACTGTGTCACCTGCACAATGCAGGTCGTTGATGAGTCTTCCTCCAATCCTGTTGTCACATTTCTCCCCACAGAGCCCAGCCTCCTGGATGATCTGTTCTGCATATAGATTGAAAAGGAATGGAGACAGGACACATCCCTGGCATACATTCTTCCAGATTTTGAATAAATCATCCTGTATGCAAAATATATGGTCTTTATAATACTAGTATTCAATTCAGGATAAAAAAAATCAAGATTACTTTAAACAGGAATATTCAGGGATGTACTTCAAAAGAATTATTTAACAGCAATATACAGGGTGGATTAAAATATGCACTTCAAGTAAATTAGCTTCATTTTACAATTTAGATTTGTAAATTTACTATCATGTTGTTGTTGTTGTTATGTGCCATCGAGTCGTTTCCGACTCATAGCGACCCTATGCACAACAGCTCTAAACCCTGCTCTATCCTGCGCCAACCGCACTGCCTCTGACACACCCATCCCGATTACCCCAGTCACCGAATCAATCCATCTCATAGAGGGTCTTCCCCTCCTGCGCTGTCCCTCCACCCTCCCAAGCATGATGTCCTTCTCCAAGCAGATTATAAAATTTTTAATTCATTTATAATTTAAGTAGAACATCATTTTAACTTAAAAATAACTCACCTAAGATTAAGTAAATTTATATGTAAAACAAACAAACCAAAAGAAAAAGCTCTTAAGCATTTTTAAAACACACTAAAGCAGCTTTCAGCATTTATAATAAGATACAAGGATGGTGAAACTGTCTCACATACTTTGGGCAAGTGTTAAGAAGGCCATTCATTAGAGAAGGATATCACACACAAAGAAATGGAGGGTCAGTGTAAGACAGGAAGACCCACAACAAGATGGACTGACACGGTGTCTGTACTCAGCATAAGACAGAGCTAAAACGAATGTTTCAGATTCGTTGCTCACTGGATCACTATGAGTTCCAGTCGACTCAATGGCACATAAAAGGACTAAGAGTTAAGTCTGGAAATACATTCAGATTTGCAAAGTCATGTGTGAAAATATGTTCCAAGCAAAAATTGTATCTAGGAAATAACCCCTACCAAAAGATGATTTAAGACTTGTTCATTAAAGGTGAGGCTCTAACTGTATCATCATCATCATCATCATCATCATCATCATCATCATCATCATTATAAACAACAAACAGGACAGAACTCACAAAAAACCCTAAAGGCCCAACTTTATAAATCAATTGCCCTCACGACCCCTCATAGTCATTACAAAAACATTTAAAATTCATAAGGCTTTAAAAATACAAACTATACAACTAACAGACACATGAATAGGCAATGCACGGTAATTATACACATTCAAAACAGCAAAAAGAGAAAACTGAGAAGAGCAGGTTGAATCTAGCCTTACCTGCTTGGGTTTTTAGGTAATTCAGAGTTGGAAGAATAGGGGGTGATCTCTTCTGGAGAAAGAAGATGACCATCATTGTAAGGGAGAAATTTGTAATCCATGCACCAGGAATAGTGCTTGTTAATGAATGGGCTCGAGCCCAGCATCGTATACTGAACACCAAGGCTCTCACGCGTGAGTCCAGAACACCATAGATGTATAACAGTTCGGAACTTCTTAAGGCAATCCTTCAAAAAATAATAAAAAAAAATGTTCAACTTTCAAAAGTTCTCAAGCCAGGGCAGAATAAAGCATACAGCTGGGAGCATATCTAATTTTCTTAATGAACCTGAATGTACTCAAAAACACCACAAAAATCATTTTCAGAAGCATGACATATTTAAAAATGTCAACACTGAAAAATCAAATTCACTCATTACCATAAAACATTCTTAGTCAAAGTTTCTGGAAATGATGATCTTAATAATAAATAAAACACATTATGTTAAGTGCTTTTGTTTTTTTCTTGTTGTGTACTGTCGAATCAGATCTATCTGGCAGAGGAGATTGGCCCTCCTTCTCCAGTGGGGCATCTGGTGGATTTGAATTGCATGCCTTTGGGATTTCGGCACAGCTTCCTGCCACAAGGCCACTAGATCTCCCCAAGTGCCACTAGGCCACCAGAGCTCTCCAAGTGCTCTTTAACAATTATCAGCGAAGATGTAATTGAATTTCCAAAAGAGAGTCTTCACATCTTCGTTTTATATTTTAGTTATCTAGTCCTTTGGTGTGGAAGGAGGAGTGGCATGCACTTCCATAATAGCTTGCCTCCAGAAACCCTATGAACCTGGAAAGAGGATGTAAGGCACCAAAGTGTCGAGGACTCTCCTTCATAGGGTCGCTATGCGTTGCCTGCGACTCGACGGCACTTAACAACAACAACAGTCCTTTGGTATACAAGTTTGCCTAAAAACCAAAGAAGAACATTCTAATCATTTATCTGAGCTTAAGAGTCATAAAAACTAAAACCCAGTTAAGATCTAGTGCAGCATTTATTAAGAAACCAACTTCAAAACAATTTTCAATGAAATTCTTAGTCATTATAGTAAGTTTAAAAATTTTATTATTGTTGCTGGAAATATATACAGCAATATACCCAAAATTTCAGCATAAACAATGACACTGCTTATATTTTTTAAGTGGTATAACCATTCTGTCTCCTCTTGTGAACTGCTTCTACTCTCCTGACATAAACTCACTACTGTCCCCTAAGCTTCCTATCTACCTTTTCAAGTGCTCTTGTCAGTATGATCTCAGATTGTTCTTTAAAAAATATACTGTTGCTCCATGAACAGCTGTATCCTTTGCCATCAGATGAGAAAAACTGGATAGTGCCTGGCTATCATTACTTAATCTTTCTCTCATTGCTATTGAGTCAATTCCACTCATAGCTAGCTCTCCAGTAGATTTCCAACTTTGTAAATCATATGAGAGAAGACTGCCCATCTTTCTTCCAAGAAACAGCTCACTGGATGTGAACTGACAGAGAACTATGGCCTTTGGGTTAATGGATCGCTCAATGGAAAGGTGCATAGACAAATCCTCATCAAAAGGGAAGAAAAATTTCAAATTTTCAAGAAATTTAAACTTTCTGAAAACAGAGAGAGTAGAAGAACTAAAACTAACCATTTTTGAACCTAAAATAAAAAACATCTCTGAAGTTATTTTAAAAGTGAACTATAGTTTAGTGTAACTAGTAAAAAAAAAGTCTGCCTTAAGCATTATGCATTTTTTTTATTTATGCTTACTCACTGTATTATAGCACTTTTTTAAACTTTTTTTTACAGAGGTTTTGGATTTCCATTCATTCATTGCCACAATTTTCTCCCTGCCCACCCCTCCCCACCAGCTCGCTTCCCCCTCCGAAGAGAAAAAGAAATCCTTCATTAGTATATAATTCCCACGTCCTTTCCCTCCACCCCCCACCCCGAGTACACTTCTCTGTGCAACCTTAATTCTGGATTCCTGTGCTAACCATAATACTCAATCATATATCGCTGCTAATCTGTTCTAAGACCAACAGCACAGGATAAGCCAAGGAACAGACCTGCTGCTCACAAGGTTGCTCTAAGTCACAGAAGACTCGACAACATATAATAATCAAAATATGAACATGAACTCAAACTGCTAGCAGCAACTTGAAAGACTAGGTAGGAAGGACAGAGAATAGTAGTCTATGTTAATGAGGTAAGAACTCAGAAAAAAGAGGGTGAGAATGGATGCACAACTCAATCAATGTCATTAAATGATTAAGTATGAAAACAGAACTGATGTACGCTTTGATTATGTGCACATTCTCAACAACAAAAAAATAAAACTTAGGGGGAAAACTCCACAATGTTCAAGATAACTTTTTTTTCCACTAATTGCACTAAATTGCTATATGGTTTAAAGAAGACTTCAGGGATTTTTTTTTATTTAAGGTTTAAAGAGGATCTCAGGTCAATAATTTTGGAGATTCAATCAGCATCAACGTAATAGAAAGGCTAGACATTCTGAAGAAACAAAAACAAAAAAGAAGATTTAAAATTCAAGTTCCTAATTATTAGAACAGGGAAGTCTGGTAGCCTAGAATAAGGAGCCATGCTGCCAACCCAAAAGTACATGGTTCAAATCCACCACAAGAGAAATATGGGAAATTACTTCCCATGCAATTTGTGTCTCTGAAAATCTACTGGTTTTCTGAGAGTCAACTATGAGTAGGCTCTGATTTGACAGTACATAACATAATCAAAATATGTCCTGTAATTTTTCAAAGAACCGACAGAGGGCACAAAATCTACTAAAAAAAACCACCAAATTAAAGCTGTCTCTAAATTATCTCCAGAATATTTACTTTCCAGCTTTAAACAAGACAAAAGAAGAAACAGGACATGAGAAATTCACAGTGACCAAGTATTTTACATGTTTAAAAACACAATAAAACAGAAATATAAAGATGTATCTGATATACAGAAATATTTTAAGAGTATAAAACTTGAAAGCAAGGTTTTAAGTCTGTCTCAATGACAAACTTCTAAAAAAGACAAGTACCATGTTGTCATACTTTATACACCATAAACAAAGGCAGGGGTGATGGAAAATGCAACTTCCACTTTCATGCTAAAATTTGGCTAGATATTAGAGGAGAGGAAGACCCACTATGAGATGGATTGATTAAGTGACTGGGGTATTGGGGGCAGGCGTGTTGGAGATTGTGAGACTGGCACAGGACAGGGCAGAGTTTAGGGCTGTTGTACATAGGGTTGCTGAGTTGCAGGTGACTCCTCGATGGCACATAACAATAATAACAGGTATCAGAGAGATTTTACTCCATGAGTTACTGGAAACTTACTTCTGTCCTTCAGCTCTCAGATGCACAGCAAGTGAATGAAAAGACCGTGGTCTAAATCAAGTGCACCTTAGTCCTCAAACTCCTCAGTAATTTGGAGAAGTCCTTGACTACAGACTTTCCCAGTGCAAAAATTCTTCTGGTATACTGACTGCCGGTGTCAAGAGTACTGACTGTGGATATAAGTAAGATGAAATTACTGACAGCTTCAATATTTCCTCCATCTATCATAATATTGGTCTAGTGATGAGAATTTTTGTTTTCTTGATGTTTAGATGCAATCCATACTGAAGGCTATAATGTTCGATCTTCTGCAGTAAGAGTTTCAAGTCCTCCTCCCTTTCAGGAAGCAAGGTTGTGTCATCTCCAAATCTGAGGTTACTTAGGTTCCCCTAATCCTAATGCCACATTCTTCTTTATAGAGTCAAGCTTCTCAAATAATTTGCTTAACACACAGATTAAATATATATGGAGAAAGAATACAACACTGATGCTCATCTTTCTTAATTTTAAACTTAATTTTGCATCTTTAAAATACAATCAGCACCTGACCTAATTTTCACTGCTGTTATTAAACTTCTCCATTGATTCATTCCACAAATGTAATTGATCTGATTCCTGTATATCCAATAAGGTAAAACAGGTGTGTATAGCCTGTGTTTGTTTCTAATAAAATGTGTCTGCTATAAATAAATAAAATAAAAAAATATCCTGCTATGCATGTCAGAGCTGGATAATGAATAAGGATGACAGAAGAATTGATGCCTCTGAGCTGTTGTGTTGGATATCCCATGGACTGTCAAAAAAACAAACAGCTCTGTCTTAAGAGAAGGTGAAGCCAGAGTGCTCCTTAGATGCAAGGATGGCAGAGCTTCATCTCACATGCTTTGGGCACACTGCTGGGAAAATCTATTCCTTGGAGAGGGACACCATGCTTAGAAAAGTGGAAGGACAACAAAAGAGAGGAAGACCCTCAGCCAGATGGCTTGATATAGTGACTGAAGAAAAAGGTTCAAGTGTGTCAGTGTGAGGCTGGCACAGGATAGGACAATGTTCAGATCTTTTTTCACAAGGTCCCTATGAGTTGTACTCGACTCAAAAACAACAGCAACACTGCTGTTGAGGCAGAACCAACTCCTGGCTAACCCTCCAGTGGGTTTTTGGAGGCTTTAAATGAAGTACATGGGAGGAAACTGCCCATCTTTCTCACAAAGAGTCGCTCGTAGAGTCAAATTGCCAGAGGGCTAGTGGCACCACTCCCTGTGGATGAAGCCACCAGAGCTCACTTCTTGGAGAAAACTTAAGTATTTAGAGTTTGTTTGTTATGAATACTTACATTTAAACAAAAGTGATTCTCATCAGAATTTCTTGAAAGTATTTGTAGTTGTGATTATTTATCTTATAGTTAATATAGTAAAACCAAGCACACATACAGTAAGAATAGCAGTTAAAATCCTCACTTGAGAAATTTCCATACTGAGAGCAGAAGAGATGGAAATCAGAGAATGAAAAAACTCACTATCTTCACAAACAGATATCAAGGATTAAAAAATATGTTTATGCTGAAGAGCTGTCCCGTCTTAAGCTGCTTAAGCCATTTCTGATATAAAAAGATCACATGTGCTTATTACAAAAAGGTGACATGGAGGCAATCCAGAGGTCAAACTCAAGTTGCTATTTTCTACATATACTGATACTATAAATAGACACATCTAATCTGTTATCAGGACACACTAGTAAAAGCAATGAAAGAAAAAAGTTCTTCTGAGAAGAAGTTCATGCTAATATTTTGATAAAATATACCAACATTTTATTTATTTTTTTTTAATTTATTTTATTATTTTTGTGTGCGTGTACCATCAAATCAGATCTGACTGGTACAGGAGGAGATTGTCCCTCCTTTGCTGGCAGAGCATCTGGTGGATTCGAACCGTGAGCCTCTGGGATTGTAGTTGCAGCTCCTTACCACTAGGCCACCAGAGCTCCCCTCAACATTTTATTTAGAAACCTGAAAAAATTCTTTAGTAACAAGAAAATAAAAAGCACTTCCTATTTGGCAGCACACAACAACAAACAACTTCAAGTGCTCAAATTAAATCAAACAATATAGCAAAAAACCAATAAAAAGAATTATTAACTAATACACTGAAGAGTCCACAGTCACTGTTTCTAGAATAAGATAAGCTGTATAAATATACTCTTGAAGGTGACAAGCTTAAGAAAGCATACCTATTGTTGGCGGTCAGATCACACTGAAAGCCTGAAGTCTGGTGTGAGAACCTGACCAGCGGACAACGGGCGTTTAGGATTTTCTGCACAGCCACGCAGCCAGGACCAAACTGGTCTAGGCACTCTCCAATCACGGACAAGATCGTCTGCGTTGCAATTCTTTCTGAAGGAACATTTTTCACTTGAAATTCCATCAGAAAATTTCCTGAGGGCTGAATGATAACAAGCATTTGTAAGTAGAAAAAATTTACAAGGAGTTTCTAAAGATACTCTTCTTAAGAGATCTTCTGAATGATTTCTGAGAATGGAAAATCTACAAAATAGAAATACTTCAAGAATCAAAGCCCAAACGAGATGCAAGAAATTAGGATTTGTGCCTTTTATTTCTCTAGTGTGTAACAGTATTAACCTGAAAAATCATTGGCTTTTTAAAACGGCTTAAATACCACATCATACAGTAATACACACACAAAGAACAACTTATTCCCCCTTTTCTAATTAGTGATTAAATTGTAATATAGCCTATAAACTCACAAGTGTAAAAAAAGCCAATCAATTGAAAAAACATGACAGTATAAATAGGTATAATTAAAGGAAAGAGATTAATAAAAATGAAGTCTCACAAATTACTTGGTAAAAATTACTATTCAATGCACGCTGATTCAGTAGAAATACATAAATTTAGATATCTAATTTGATCCTAAAAGAAAAATAAAATTAACCTGATCAAATACCTTAATGTAAAATGGAAAAATACTACAAGCTAGTGGATATTTTTATAATCTCAGAGCGGTTAAGGAATCTCTAAGCATGATACAAAATTCCGTAAGACACTAAAGTATGATTACACAGAAATTAAGGCCATATTAAGGCAACCAAAGACAAAAGGAGATAGTAACAACCTATCAGTAAGATTATTTTAGAAAAACAATACACAAAGGACTAATTTCCTAATTTATGCTGAGGGTCTTAAATGAATAAGGAGCTCTGGTAGTGTAGAATGCTACATGCTGGGATTCTAACTAGAAGGTCGGTGGTTTGAACACATCAGCTGCTTCAAGGGAAGAAGATGGGTAGTCTACTCCCTTAAAAGCTCTACAGCTTTAGAAATGTGCTGTCGGGAGGTGGAATTAACTTAGTAACTGTGAGTTTGTTTTTCTTTGGTTCTAAAATGAATTATTCTTGTTAGAGAACACTGGGATGGCTGAGACTCATAGCAATTTTATGCACAATAGATTGGAACCTCGCTGTTTCCTGTGCCATTAGGGGAAGAAAACATTCCATTTTTAAAATAAGCAAAAGGATGTGAATAAAACATTTAGATGAGAAATAAACATGTCTGAAGAATATAGTGAACGATACTAATTTTCTGGAAACTAAAGAAGAAATTAGAACAATAATGTTTTCTTTTTTTTAACTTGTGATTTGAGTGAAAGTTTACAGAGGAATTATTTGACTTAGCCATTCATACTTGTTTTCTATTGATTAAAACACTGTATCAACATTCTTACTACATCTTTGTGGTTCTTATTCCCATTCAAACGTCTTGCTCTATCAGGGCTTTACCTGTAGGCAAATGCTACCTTGTGATTTTGTATGGCTGATTTTTCAAAGAACTGAGTATCCCTCCTGTTAGTTATTGTTTACCTTACAGATCTGTCCACTGTTTCACTGCTGAGTTTTATTGGAAGAGTATAAAGTGACTGAAGGGAGACTCATCAATAACCTGCATTATGCAGATGATACCATCTTGCTTGCTGAAAGTGAGGAGGACTTGAAGTACTTGTTGCAGAAGATCAAGGAATGTAGCCTTCAGTATAGATTGCATTTCAGTATCAAGAAAACAAAGATTCTTACTTCTGGACCAATTGGCAGTGTCATAATGGATGGAGAGGAGACTTAAAACTGTCAATAACTTCATCTTGTTTGGATCCACAATTAACACCCTATGTATGAGCAGTCAGGAAACAAGGAGACATACTGCAATGGGAAAATCTCTAGGTAGGGACCTTTCCAAATTATTAAGGAGTAGCGATGTCAGTTTGAGGACTAAGGGGCATCAGATTCAAGTAATGGTCTTTCTCATTACTAGCTATGCATCCAAGACCTGTACAATGAATAAGGATGACAGAAAAAGAATTGATGCTTTTGAGCTGTGGTTTTGGAGAAGGGCAATGAACATCCCATGGACAGCCAAGAAAACGAATAGATATGTCTTAGAGAGGGTGCAGCCAGAGTGCTCTTTGGATGCAAGAATGATGAAGCTTCACACCACATACTTTGGACATACTGCTAGGAGGTGCTATTCCTTGGAGAAGGACATTCTGTTGGGAAGGGTACAGGGTTGGTGAGGAGAGGAAGACCCTCAACCAGGTGGACTGACATGGTAACTGTTGCAATGGGCTCTTGTGTGTTGGGAAGTGTGAGGATGGCGCAGGACAGGACTTTTGTTCATAGGGTCACTATGAGTCATACTCAACTCTATGGCACCTAACAACAATAACAACAACAATGTGGTATGTTGCATATGTCAATATCTATTAAAATGCTATAGATATAAGTATCTATGGAAACTTGGAATATAAACTGAAAATGCTATTAACATTGTAGAAATTGATCCCTAAGAAATAACTACACAAATGAGCCAATTTACAAAAATGTTTCCTTGTTGTCACATTCTTCACCTGGTTAACTCTTTCTGGGAGACACACCAGGCACCGTTTTGTTCACACGTGCACAGACTTTATGCAAGCCAACAAAAACCATCTTTATAAGATGCCCTTCAATGGGAGGGAGCACAAGGTAATTCAAGAAATGTAAGCAGTGTGAACCCACTAGTAGTTTTTCAGGAGAAAAGGCCTGGTGTTGTGTTCCTGTAAAATATTTCAACCTAGGACACCCTATGGGGGCAGTTCTACTCCATCATGTGAGGTCATAAGGAGTCAAAAGTGACTCAAAAACAAACAACAACCACAATATCTTTCAAGACTCTTTCTTATTAAAAGGATTAAGACTTAGGTTTAAATAAAAATCCACCCCCTTATCAAGCAAAGACAGATGATCTGTAGCAATGTATGATTTCATCCATTTTAAAATTTCTACTAGATATTAAAATGGAGATTTAAAGGCAAGCAGTGAGTCTTAGTGTGTGATTGTCATAGCTCTTCTCTAGACCACAGGATGAAAAAGTGAAAAACATCAAAGGAGCAAAAAGGAATGGGTAAAGAAAGAAATAAAATGTATAGACAGAAAAGGTTCTAGACAGGTTTTTAGTTCATAGTTCTAGTCTGTCCAGCCTTTCAAATCCCCAGTCACTTGAAGGAGAAAGATGGACAAGCTTTTCCAATGCGATTACAACCTCCCAAAACCCCACAATTTGTAGTCACGTAGAACGTGACTCTGGTTTTGGGGTGGGGTTTTTCTTAGAGTATCTTAAGAGAATTTTAAAAAAGTCCTTTAAAATCTTCTTAAATATATAATAGTCCCTTTATTATAACACATCTTTTAAAGTTTTGTTTCCCTAATTCATTCTACCATAAGATATAAATACAAATTACATGTGAGAAATTAATTCAAACAAGAGAAATAAAGTATGGAGCTCTTTAACATAAGAAGGGGGATGGTCGTTTACCAAGATTAAGCGGGTATCTGTCTAAATTTTGCTCACAGTACCTCCCATCATGTCCAAGGTCAATCTGGCCCATTACATTATATGTCAGGTCCAAGTCAATCAGGCAGAGCTGGACGCTCAGGTTGAGTGGCCAAATAGACCATAAATAGAGAACCAACTGGAGTTGCAGCTGCAGGAGGCCTAAACATCTCGTTTGTTGAAGTTTACACAGACTGTAGAGAGGAGGCAACCTGTAAACTCCCTGGAAACACAGACATACTGGAGAGCCTCTGGGCCTCACTACACTAACTACAAAGATCTCAGCCTTCCACAAGTCCCACAGAAACTTTCTCAAAAAGTTCTGATAGTGCTCAGAACAAAGGTGGCCCTCTGCCACATTTCTACACATGGACCATGTGGTTAACTCAAAACAATGCACACGGACCCCTACCCTTACACTCTATGCACCTGTGCAGTTACACTTAATGATTCAGCACAGGCACTGCTGCCTCACTAAAACTGCTTGTTGTAAATAAGGTACAGATGTGTTAGCACAAATCTGACTGCTAGGTACACAACACGTGGCAGTCCCAGACAGCTGGACAGGAAGAGACAGATGTGGGGTAATAAAACAAAAACTAAAAACCCCTCAGATAGTAAATGAAAGTAAATCTGGAGAGTAGAATCAGACTAAATGGTGGGGAAGAAAAATCTTAGACCAGACTGACTATATTTGTGGAAGGAATCGATGAAGGTCATTCTCCGCAGTCAAAACCAGGCAAGGTGCCAACTGCAGATTAGACCATCAATTACTCATGTGCAAGTTCAAATTAATGCTAAAGAAAATGAAAACAAATCCACAAGAACCAAAATATGGTCTTGAGTCAATCCCACCTAAATTTATAAATCATCCTAAGAATAGGTTGGAAGAACTGACATCAAGGATATCATTCTCAAATAGAGCAAAAGATCACTACAAAGACAGAGGAGAAAGAAAAACCAAAATAGATGACAGAAGAAACCCTGAAAATTGCACTAGCTCATCAAGAAGCCAAAGAAAAGGAAGTCATGCTGACGTAAAAATGTTGTTCAAAAGAAGATTTCAAACAGCAGTTGGAGGAGACAAAGAAACTATAATAACAGAACAAGCAGAGACTTAGCATTGGAAAATAAAAAGGGAAGAACTTGCTTTGCATCTCTCAAGCTGAAAGAACTGAATACTATGTTGCATTGAAACACAAGGAACTCATGCAATATTATTCAAAATGGGTGACTCTGGAGGACCTTATGCTGAATGAAATATCTCAGTCATAAAAGAACAAATACTGCATAATGTCACTGTTGTAGAATGGGACTGACATCAGGGTTGGGGTGAGACTGAGAAAAATTGGGTAAATTATGTATACTGCATTAAAACAGATGAGGGAGAGAACAGCTTAAAAGTGATATATGATTGGGTATTATGGTTATGACAAGAGTTCAGAGTGAAGGTTGCATAGTGGAGTGTGCTGGGGGCGGGGGAGCAAACTGGGGGGAGAGGTGGGCAAAAAGAAAAAATGCAACAATGAATGAATGGAAATCCAAAATCTCTGTAAATGTTCA